TAGGCATCACAAATGATTCCCAAATCTGCCAGAGTCTGCTGCTTGGCCATCAAGAAAGACCGATGGGAGCATGCTTTTTCTTTTTGTACATATCTGCCACTGAACAAATGCAACCAACGGTTTAAACACTTAAGATTTGTCCCACAGCATACTTTGCAGTTAAAACGCAAGGTCCTCTTTTTAAATGCGCTCCCTCTCCCCCTTTCAAAGATGCAGCATAATAATAGAAAAAAATTGGAAGAAAAATGCGAACAGTACTTACCTTTCCTCCAGCTTTCATCCAAGCCACCTAGGTAGAAGTGAAATAATCCTCCTTCCGGCAAGATCTGAGGAATATACAGTTCTCCTAATATTGCCAAGATGGCACTCCCAGCACTTTGCTGTAACATTTTCTTGCAAGAATTGGGAGTGCTCAGTATTTTGTGGTATTTGAGAAGAAGAAATATTACATCACCCTTTGCACAATGGCAGCTGGCTTAAAGGAGAGTATACTTTCCATACAGGCATTTTTTTTTAAGAGTATGCTACATTTCAATAAAGGGGAGAGAAGACCATCAAAAAAGTGGACCTTGCACCACTTTAATCTGACTATACAAGTTACAATCTGAATGTAGAATCTCCTTAAAGCCATCAAAATATAGTGCAAAAGCATGCCTGGTTGGATACAAACTGCAATGATTGTTTACGAAGACCCTCATTACTTAGTCAGTACTAAGTAAGTACTTTTGAGAGCACTACAATTAGATAACTTAACTACCATGAGGAGGGGTGAGAGAAAAAGCATAAAATAATGTAGAATGTGTGTGCAACCCTTACAGGACAGTTTTTTTTTCCTACTATTGCAAACAATACATGCTTCAGGGGCTGCTGACGATAGCTTACACTGTTGGTGTTCATACAATGTGATTAAACCATTTTGGAACAGGTTTGCATCTTGTCTACAATGTTTTATTTTACAAAAACTATTTATTGAAGTAAGTTTCATACAGCACAAGACAACAGTACAAAAACTGTAAGTGCAAATGAGATAATAAAGAAAAGAGAAGGTGGGCCAATAGGCCTAATATAAGAGGCATTTCAGAGAAAATTAGTCATTATCACAGTAGAAACTTATAGAGCAAGTACAACTAAAACTTTAGAGCGCAGTTGATCAGGAAACCTGAGTAGTGTGCTACAGTAGTGCTTGAGTAGTACCACCTACAACCCAAGGGAGGAAATGGCTCAAGCACCATGTGCAAACCAGCAGACAATAAGCTTATCCTGGTGAAAAAAAAAAATACAGCAGTTTGGAAGAAGAAAAGAAGGAAATAGAGGGGTGGGGAAGAAGGGAGTTCCCGCAGGATACACCACATGTTGACAGCTGGAAACTGCATCAGAATCGTCTAGTCAAAAACAAAGAACGGTCCAGGTTCAGATTGTTCTTATAAGCGATCCACGGTTCCCACACCTTTAGAAATTGGGCATGTACCATTCAAAATGGAGGTGAGCTTCTTATGTGCCATAGTGCCCATGAGTTAGTGTTTAACTCCAGCTAAGTTTAGATATTGCTGATGCCAGGCCTTGGCCAATGTTTGATGGGACGCCAGGAAAACAAAGCTCACCAATTTCCACTGGTTCTTAGGCAAAGCTGCTACAGGCTTATGTAGCAGAGCCACCAACGGATTATATGCCAAAGATATATTCAGCATAGTTCTGATGAAGGTGTACACTTGGGTCCAGAAGCAGATCACCTTAGGGCAAGTTCACCAAATGTGACAGTTCTCTACAACCCGGAAGTCTACAATGTTTTCATCTCATCACAAGGAAAACAACAATGTGAGTTAACTTAGAAAGGGGTATATTATTGATAGGCTCAAAAGGGAGGTATTTGATGTGCAGAGAGAACCTAATTCAAATCACATTACCCCATAAAATGATTGTACATAAAGAATGAGAGGCTTAGGTTAAGTTTTTTCCCGCAGCGGTTTTCTTTCCTGTAAGCATTCAGTGCTGATGGGAGAATCCCTCTCTCGTGGAGCTATTGTGTTCTCCTGATGAGGGTGCGCAAGGAGCCATCCCTGCTGGGAGAACAGCAGGCAATAATCGCATGCTAAAAATCTGATGTGCTGGTTGTACTCAAGTCGATTGATGGATCAAATTTGGTATAATCAGCCTTGCCTATAGATGAATCGAATCTCAGCCTGTCCCTGCTAAACCAGCCGAGATTCGATCCATCTATGGTTGGCTTAAATATTTTGTGAGATAGAAATCTCTATCCTTACACTAAGCAAAGTATGCCATCTATTGGAGATGGCAGGAAGTGGACTTCCTGGTTTTAACATCTTCTGCCTTGCTTAGTCAGAGATACCACTGTCCTTTAGAACCTAAGCATAAACAACTTTGCCTTTACAACCAGCAAACAAGAAGTGGGATAGTAAATCAGTCCATAGGACAGAAGATCTGGTCAATCTGGAGAAGCCCACAGATCATATGAATCTGATTAGGTTGGAGTACCGGATCCACCTGGGCCAGTCCAGCTTACCACCGGAGTGCCCTCCATCTCGATCATGCAAAGTAATCAAGGTAGGAGCTTTTACGGGAGAGAAGTTCTAGACATCAGTTTGTGCCTATCCTAAAAAGCCACCAGCTCTTCGACTGCTTTCACCAGAGGATCTCTGTACCTGAAGAATAGCCTGTCCAGTTTGCTTTGGTGAATCTGGACGCCCAAAGGTCTACACCCTGCATCCTCCACCTCTGGCATAGTTTTTAGAAAACTTCAGAGTGCAGAGACCATTCCCTCATGTCCAGGCATTGCAGCCTGAGGAAATCTGCCTGCAAAGTGACCATACAAAAACAAAAGAATTGTGTAAAAATTACACAAACCATCCAGCGCTCCAATTAGTCCACGGATAAAACACACTAAATCTGTGGCATAGCAGCAATTATTGCAATGGTAGATGAATGGTAGAGGGGTGGATGAACAGATGGATGAATGGATGGAACATGGTTCACCTCTGCAGCTTCCCTAAGATCTGGGCGGGATCACCTCACAAACCAGGAAATAACAAAAAAGTAGGGCACTGAGGTTAATACCAAACAAAAAACACCTTTATTAAGCAAACTTATAGTACATGTCAGAAATCGCCAATCCTCCAGTAGATAATGACACAGCAGGTTGAGACACCAGAGCCGATCAACTGGTAATGAAGAGGTAATGGATGACCACCAGGCATGCAGCAGCAGGGGCTCCAAACAGCCAGCAGGTAGTGTGGAAATAATGAGCTGGCGGTGTCTCTAGTCACAGTGCGAGGATGACAGCTGTCAGAATCCTTTGGTGATGTCGGGAGGGGTAAGCATAACACGTTTCAAGGGTCTCAGCCCTCTTTTTCAAATGCATAGGGAAAGCCAGAAGCTATTTGTTTAAATAGCCAGTAGGGCGTGCAAGGAGGAGAAGAAGAGAAGGGGAGGGGAAGGCACAGAGACTGAGCTTCTACATTCTCAGCAATGTCACAATAATACAATACACAGGCACATTATGGTAGGCAATCCACAAAGTGTACACAGAGAAGTACGCATGAAACTGATAACATTTCTAAACTACAATACTAGAAATTGCTACATCAGCAAACATGAAAGATAAAAGTACAGGGGGAACTGGTATGTGCAAAGACTATACACGATACTTAAAAATACTCCATGATCTGAAAAGGGAAGGTGTGCGTGTGTGTGTAGTAAAGTTAGCAAAAAAGCTTATGGCTGTAATGCAGTAAGAAGATATGACCATTACAGAAATTAATGGGGGGGGGGGGGGGCGATAATAGGGACCATTAGCAGCAGAAAAATAAAATAGAAACATAAAAAAAAAATTTAAAGACTTATTTATAAAAAGTCATACAAAAAAAATAGAATGGGCCATACCTCCAACTCCTCATTCAGACCCCCTGGTGACAAACTGTTAAGATATCCAAAAGGTTTCTCTGTGGCAGAGAGTATGAAAACTGCAGAGTCACGGGGGGTGGAATCTGCTTAAGAATCCAAACACGAAGACCCTCTGTGGAGCCATTGCGAATGGACTTGAAATGTCTGGGAACACTGATCCGTGTTTCCCTCTGCAATCAACCTCCTGTGCTCGCCAAATCGTTTTTGGACCATCCGAATTGTCAAGCCTACATATTGGAGGTTGTAGGGACAGGAGAGGCAATATGTCTGGCAATATGACATGGTCTGCAGAGCAAGAAAAAAAAAGGAGCAAATGAGATATACTCTGCCCTTACTGTCCTTAAAACTTTTTTGCGATGATCCACAAACTTGCACATTTTACATTTGGATTTCTTGCACTGGTACAAGGCCACAATCTAATAGAAGGTTTCTTGGTAAATGGTACTTTACCAGGGGGGGAAATTTTGTACTTTTAATATTAGGGGCCCTCCTGTAGACAAACCTGGATCTGCTGGGGAGAATTGGCCCCAACTTGGGATCTTTGAGCAAAATCACCCAATGCCAAGCAACAGTCTACTCCATCTGTTTAACCACTAGTCTACAGGGCACTTATACCCCCTTCCTGCCCAGGCCAATTTCCAGCTTTCAGCGCTGTTGCACTTTGAATGACAATTGTGTGGTCATGCAACACTGTACCCAAATGAAATTTTTATAATTTTTTGTGACAGATAGAGCTTTATTTTGGTGGTATTTAATCACCTCTGGGTTTTTAATTTTTTCTTAAACCAAAAACCACTGAACATTTTGAAAAAAAAAAAGTTTTTTCTTAGTTTTTGTTATAAAATGTTGTAAAGTGATTTTTCTCCTTCACTGATGTGCGCTAATGAGGCTGCAGTGATGGGCACTGATAGGTGGCACTGATGAGGAGGCACTGGTAGGTGGCACTGATGGGCATTGACAGACCTCACTGATGAGCACTGAAAGGCAGCACTCATATATGGCACTGACTGACACTGCTAGGCGGCACTGATGTGAACTGATAGTCGGCACTGATGCACACTGATAGGCGTAACTGACTGGCACTGATAGGTGGCACTGATGGGTGACACTGAAAGGCAGCTCAGATGGGCACTGATGTGGCATTGATGTGCACTGGTAGGCACTGAAATATGGCATTGATGTGGCACTGATGGGCACTGGCAGGTGGAATGGATGAGAAACTGACAGCTAGCACTGATGGACACTGACAGGTGGCACTGCTGGGGCAACATAGATCATCAGGGCACACTGATCATCAGTGCCCTGATGATCAATGTACATGTCCCCTCTGAGGAATGCCAATTACCGGCTCTCCTTTCCTCTTGAGCTGTCAGCGTGACAGCTCGTGAGGAGAGAAATGCCGATAACCGGCATTTCCCTATTTACATGTGATCAGCTGTGATTGGACACAGCTGATTACATGACCGAGCCTACATCTTTGGCTCTTTCCATTGATCGGTGATCCGCTGTGTCCGAGGGACACAGCGCACCGCCGATCGCCAAGCTGCGCTCTACCGTAGCCGCGCATGCGCGGTTAGAATGGGAGGACGTGATATGCTATAACTTTCACTTAAACCAATTAATTTACACGTATTTGGATTTTTTTTTTAGCAAAGACATTTAGCAGAATAAATGTGACAAACTCCTGCGCTCCTACCTAAAAACTAATACCTACCAAGGTAAAGCTGCTACATACAGTCATATACCCATAGACAAAAAATATAAATGAAACAAATGATGGAGCGCTACTACTATAAAAATTCTTCACACATAAATGAATAAGTGAAACAGTGCAAAATTAGTGACACAAATAACAAACACACAATATTAAATAGTGCCAAAAAACTCAAAATAATCACGTGACAAGTGTCAATACGAGGTCCTAAAAGGACCAAACAACATAAATGGTGCCCCAAGTAATCCAATGGGATCCAATAGTGCTCCAAATCAAACAAGTAAGTCACAACAGGACTCAATGTGCTAAAAAAAACCTCCCACCGGAACTAAAAATCAGTTCCCACCATATAACACAAAACACACGTGCATCCCAATAAATGCATAAACTAAGAACGGATCATGCAAACAAACATGAATAAATGAATAAATATATAAAGTCCCGTGAGGTGTAAAACACCTGACAATATACAAAAAACCATATATAAAGTCCACAGCAATTCTTGAAGAAGAAAAAAAAAAAAAAAAGTGCTGATAAATGTGCAGAGATATCCAAAAATGGCTGAATTGCCCACTCACCTCCCTCTTGCGACCCGCACAGGGTCAAAAGGCCTTCAGGGTTACTAACACATGAACCTTTAATAGTAGGTAATCCTCCACAGCTCTCCACACTGACCTCCCCTCATGTACAGATTCAAGCACAGGCTCACAGGGCAGCAGATCTCCTATTCAGGCACATAAGGTGGCTGCAGCCACTTGATCCCTCAGAAAATATAAGTGAATGCTTGCATAGTGTAAAACTATTTATTCACCAAAGTATCACATATCGAATATGCTCACATTTAAAATCATCTTGTACATCACATGTAAATCAAACCACAGATCAGATGTACTTGCATGGGTGTCCAATGTACATAAAGAAGGCGTCCGACCGGAAGTGCGTCACCGCCAACGCGTATCGTCACGCTTAACATGTGACTTCATCAGGGCAGATGGGGAGGACCTAAGGGGTTCAATATGTAAAATGCTGAATAATATAAGGGACAGACCTGCTTCAGAGACTCTTAAATTGGACAGCTTATACAGAATAGGAAAGCGGCAACAAGAAAGGGGTAAAGAGATGTAATTGTGCAATTCCATAATTATGGGGATAAAGAAGAGATATGGAAGAAGATAAAGGGAAGATCAGACATTAATTATGGACAAATAAAAATTCAAATTTTCGCCGATTTAGCAGCTGAGACTCTGATAAGAAGAAGATCCCTGAGACCACTATTAGAACAGATGAAGAGGCAAAATGTGCAATATAGATTGGGTTTCGCGGAATGTTTAATTGGGTGGAAATATGGTCGTACAGCAAGACTGAGATTTCCGGAAGATATGAGAGACTTTTGTGAGAGACTCGAATTACAGAGAATAGCGATACCTGAGTGGGAAATGGAGGCAGGAAAGATGGGCTGTATTGAAAAGGATGAATGGCAGGTAGTTGGAAGGGGAAATAGAGAGTAGAGAAGAGGATGGCGAGGGGGAAAAGGGAGAGGAAGGTTTTTTTTTTGTTTCCCCTTTTTTTTCTTCCACTCGCCCTCATTTTTAAAACCCTATAACCCTTTCATTTAGATGGGTCGCTGGAGACTCATTTGATATAGAGAGTGGCAGGGCACGGAGGAAGATAGGTGGATGGTGAATCGCACATGGTCGGAGCTTCACCTCAAAGTTGAATCAAAAGTGGTATTAGGACCACAAATTATTTTTAGGCAAATAGGTAGCCTAAGGGAAGGGGAGGAAAATGGGAGGGAGGGGGAGTCAAAGGGCAAGTAGGGGATATGGGGGGGAAAGGGAAAGGTGTGGGAGGGGGGGTGGGGCAAGGGGTACAGGGAGGGGGTAGGTAGGTTAAGACTCGGCAATACAGTAGGAGATACAACAGTTTGGAAGAGCTTGAGGGAACGAAGGAGAAGTTCTGGACAAGATAGTAGGAGAGTGGGGATGAAGGAAAAGGATAGGAGGAAATGTGACTTATAATGTTAATGGTTTGAATAGCCCTGGGAAGAGATTTAGGATATCTAAAGAGATTCAGTATAGATTGTCCTCAGTGGTTTTTTTTTTTTTTTTTTTTTTACAGGAGACACATATAGGTCCAGAAACAAATGTGAAATTGAATTCCAATTATTATCCAATGTGGTTCTATGCAGATTCCCCAATTAGAAGAGCCAAAGGGGTCGCAATAGGTTTTGCAAAAAATATAAGGTTTAAATTAGAAGAAAGTTTGGTAGACCCTGAAGGCAGACTTTTGTTTCGGAACGGAAAACTACAAGAAATAGATTGCACAATAGCAAAGTAGATCTTTGAGATCCTTGAAAAAAAATGATATATCAATGTCAACTTGTGGATGTATGGAGAATTAAGCATATGAAGGACAGAGATTATACATTTTACTCATATGCACATGAGAAGTATTCAAGATTGGATTATATATTGCTGGAACATCGACTCCTTGAGTCTTTGGTCAAAGTAAAAATAGAAGTGGGGGAAGGAGCAGAAGGGGGGATATGGATAAAGATTAAATGAGACACTTCTTCAGGATAAGGAGAAGGAAGAGAGAATTAAAAAACAGAGCAATTCTTTGAAGAGAATGATTCGGAGGAAGTGTCTGTGGCAACGGTCTGGGAGGCTCATAAGGCGTATATTAGAGGAATTCTGATAGCGATAGGAGCTAAAAAGAAGAGGGAAAGAAGAGAAAAAAATGAATAGACTTCTTGGGGAATTCTGTGAGCTAGAACAGACGAACAAATATAGAGTAACAAAAGAGATTATGCAGAGAGTAACAAATAAAAAAGAATTAAACAATTTTCTGGAAGAAGAGAAGAGTAGAGTATTCAATAAAATGATAAGTGAGAGATATAGATGGGGAGACAGGCCAGAAGAGTGCTGACTGGTCTTCAGCTGTTCCCTGTTTCCTGCTCGGTCCTGTGTGATTTCCTTGTTGCTGACCAGGCTTGTCCCTGACCTGACTCTCCTGCTTGATACTGGTTCCTGACTTTGGCTCTGCTCCAGACTTTGGCTTGCTTATGATTTGGTATCTCGCTGTTCGCCCGTTGATGACCCTGGCTATTCCTTTGACACTGCTTCCGTCTCCCACCCCTGCTTCCTGCCTTGCTCTGGTGCACACCTGGTGATCTACCATACCAGCTCTGCATATTACTACTGTGCCTGAATCAGAGGTTCATCAGTCTTCTAAAGTCTCCAACTGCAAGAGCTTCAAACAACATCTGCTGGCGCTCTTGTCCCCCTGGTCCCTAGACACCCTCTGTTCCACTTCCAGTGGGGTCAGGGCTAGTGACACAAGTGAGGCCAACCTCGTCATTTCAGTCTCCAATCAGGTACGTGATAATTTGTAATTTTCCAGCCAGCGTTAAATATTTCTCTGCAAAGAAAATATGTCTATCCTCCTAGGACATTAGCAAAAAACTAAAGAAAGCCAAGAGTGGGAGGGGTTATACCAGGTTGATGCTTTTTATGCTTTCTAATGTCTAACTCCTCCTGTAGATGGCAACATAACCCAAAGTGCGATGAATCCTGTTTCACTCAGTGTGTAAAAATTAAATTTTATGTTACTGTAATTGACCATTCCTTAAATTTAAAACCCTGTTTTGATCAGCATTTAGTCAGGAAGATCTCTGTGAAACTGCTGTGTGCCACGTCACAATCTTTATTTTTGGCATTTACAGTATATAGGTGACATATGGACAATGAGTGCTTCACAGATTGTACAGAACTTTTCAGTCCATGTCCCAGAAATTAGGATAATATCCTTAGCACACTCATAAAAACACAAGGGAGAAAGTTGATTGATCTACCAGTATTTCTTGATCAAGGGAAGAATTTGGAGCTGAAGAAACCCACACAGAAAGGGGGAGATCACACAAACCCCATACAGATAGTGTTCCTGGCAGGATCTGAAACTAAGAATCTTCACATCTACATGCATGCACTTCAGTCTGATTGTATGCTATTGAATAGGGCAGACTACCTCATGGTGACAACGCATACATTCCTGTGCAAGAAATGTCAACATGGCCAACCGGCTCTAATCTCAAGTGCATGTGCAGGTAACAATGTAGGAGTGCAACTGGTAGACAGAGACAGAGCTTTTTTTTATAAAGCGTAATAGGAAGTATCTGAATAAAGACATTCATTGCAGGATTACCAGGTATTAAATTAATTAAAACGTTAGATTTCAAAATATATTAAAAGACACTTGGCATCACCTAAAGATTTTAAAGATTAAATGAAATTTCTTTGGTGATTGGGTTTATATCTACTTTAATTTACACCTGTCAGTGCCCCATATATATATTTTCACATCAAAATAAGGCAACTCCAGACAGCACCGTAGCAATGTCATGCACAATTATCCTTGCAGAGTAACAAAGAAAACTCCAAAATTATGATTTGTGGTATGCTAATTCCAAAATTCAGCACCAAGGATTTAAACTATTAAATTCTATAATGCTATCTCAATGACCTACTAAATGGTGACAAGTGCTGCACTGTGAGATAAGTTGGGTTCCTTAGCACCAACATTTTCTAACGGATGAAGTTACATACTACAGAAGTCCTCAAATTTCAAGGACTCTCAGGATGCTCTTCAGAGAAGATATTTATTTCACTGGTAATGAATAAATCCCAGAGGTACAGATTTCATATAAAAGTTTAGTGTTTGGACTTGCACGCAAATACAGGATTTCTTCAAGGTTTCAAAACATATTTCACTGCACTACAAATATACG